TGCATTTGCGAGATTATGGGGCAGGAACCGCACAGAGAGATGTAGGAGTGCATGAAAGAACGATTCGAGCTCGTCTTCGATGCGGATCGACTTCTTGTGGTCGTTGAGCGCGTTCGCAGACATGAACTGCCAAGTGCCCTGCCGCAACAAAGACCGAATGAGCGTTCAGATACCATTTAATAAGTGAAAACAAAAGTATACCGTGCGATCGGGCTGACGCTCCTTATTGTCCTGTTGATCACGCCTCTTTGAGAGCTCCCAGTCGTTTAACAGACCTCCCCAAGTACCCTCTTCATTCCGGAACAAGAGCATGTTGCCTGTACTGATATCACGGTGAATGATATTAGCCTCCTCGTAGGCTTGGGAATGAGCTGCGAAGGAGAGGGAAACAACGAGAATCAGTGCTCACGTGAATGCTGGAAACGGAAAGAATGTGAAACTCACCGAAGATACAGCACCATATGGCGCCCACCAGCTCGGAACTACACTCGAACTGCTCCAGCGGCTTCCCAACCTCCTTGACGACAAGCCGGTAGTGCTGATGCGTCTTCAAAGGACATTCCTTCCCCGAGTGATAATCCGGCCACACTGCCTGCGTCCTCGTCTCCTGGCCAAGTAAGTCACCATGACAAACAAGTGTTGGGATAAACTGCACTCGATGCTCGTGTAGGCTCTTCAGGACACAACCCTCTTGCTCGATATCGTCACTGACCACTCGCCACGCATCTTTCAGGAACACAGGAGGACCGTGCGGGTTACTGGCATCGAGCGCGATGTACCCACGAGTCGCACGACCCGCAACACCCGGGGCTATGAAGTGAGGTTTACCAACGAGGAAAGTGCGAGAGCCGCCTCGGTCTTCATCAGGGACCTCCAGCTTCCACCACGGCCACCGCTCGTCGAGCGTGCTTGCAAGCATCACCTTCACGTAGTCATCGGGATCCACCTTCTTCACCTGCTCTCGCATACGCTCGGCGTCAGGCCCATGAGGGTCAAGACGAGTTGCCGTGGTGTCGTAACCCCGGTCGGAAGCGGAAAGCAGTGCGTGGTTCCAGAAGAAATGCGCAAGTTTCAGCCCGGCGGCCTCCTCCCTGTACTTGAACTTTTTCGTCGCGAAAATACCCGAGTGGTCGATCCGGACGATCCGTGCCATGTCCCCGAGGAAGAGCACCATGAACTGGAACATCCGCTGCTGGTACAGGAAGATCAACCGGACATAGTCGAGCACCTGCCCAAGCACCTCACGTCGCCCAACGGCCACCGGCTCGTGCGTGTCCCGCGCCTCGTCGAATGGGTCGTCGTCCGTCGAGTTCATCTTGCACTCGATCGCGATGTCGATCCACGTCCAGTTCACCCGCCTATTCCCCTCTTCGTCTGCCGGACCGAGGTGATCCACACCCTCTTTGGGGTACATTCCACAGTCGACCGCCTGACCAGACCGCTCCGAGGAGTCGCCTTTGTACGGGGTCGACACGAACTCGAATTCCTTCATGAGACCCGCCCTAGAGAGAGCGTCGGTCTAAGAAATGGTCTGTCAGTGTACATGCGACGCGTCACCCACGCGAGGTGGCAGTGGGGTGGACGTACGATGTTCTTGTACATGTCCTTCTCGACGCTTGCCCGAGGCATGTCTTTGAATGGGTTCGAGGACGGGGCGTCGGGCCTCGCGGCATCGCGTTCAGTCGATGGTCCGTGCATAGAATTACCCGCGTGAGAGTAGGATGAAGAATCCGGAGCGAGTGCATTTGGCACGAATCGAGCGATGAAGTCGTCGAAGGGGATGCAGGTGATCTTCTTGTGCATACCGAAGCGGAGCTCTTGCCGTCTCTCCTGCCGTTGTCCAGTGGTGATAAATTGCGAGCGGAGCGCCCTATTGGGGGAGTCTGCGGGGGCAGGAATGTTAGCCATGGTGATGTAGCAGCAGGCAGGTCCTCGGGCTGGTGGCTCGGAGGAAGGAGGTGAAGGAAAGACATACCGAGGTCAGCGGCTTATATGTTGTTGAACTTAGCCACAAGCACGAGTCAGAGGCCACGTTATAGTTCCAAGCGCTGGCGCGTAGCTGCTATTGAAGTCTAGATTCGGACAAGCGAGACAAAGGAGAGGAGGGTGACGGTGGATGAACGTTGAAGTGCTCAGTGAGGGAGCGCCCAAACCGATCCATATGCGGACCGGACCGCCGCGTGCCGTGACGGATTGTAACACCAGCGCCGAGAACTTCCTGGATGGCGGCCTCTGGCTTGCCTCAAGAATTTCTCTACATAATTTTCGGTCCCTGAAGGCATTGTAATACGAGATCAATTTTCAGGACAAGAGTACCGCACGCATTAATTCAGCGTGAGCCCGGACAATGAGGACCCGGATGCTTGGTGGCTGTGCACATCACTGCCATTCCCAAGTTCGTCGCGCACGGCGATTGGGCGCTTCTCGACTTGACCTTAGCCACCAGCCAGCGTGCCTCCAATGTCTGCACTTTTCGTCGATAGCGTCTACACACGGCTCCAACATATCTCTACGCAGCGTTCCGTGGCTAAATTACAACAAGATATAACCTGCGCGTGTGCATTCAATCGGTATGTTCTGTCCCTCTTCTCAGCTGGCGGGAGTCGTCTTTGCACAACTTGGCCCCCGGAATGTGCGCGTTCGATCAAAGTGGCATGGCCGTTCGCACTAGTCTTATTAGCGACCTTTCCGTCCTTCGTGGCAGGAGTGTCCCTGATAATTCCGGCTTTGTGAGAGCGCCGCCGGACCTTGGCCATGACACGCACAAGCCCATAGGTGAAGTCTCGGGGAGACGTCACCGCCGTCGGCCTCGGTCTCCATCCTAGTGCGGGACTCTTGCTCTCTAAGTCGATCCAATGTGTATTGTGCACTGAACCAGGACAGCAAAGGCTCAAGGACGCCGTTGATAAGATGCCCTACGGCCGAAGTCGCACTGGCAATCTCAGATGGGACGGTAGAATCGGACGAGTTGCCCGACCGGTGATACCAGGGGCCGTGGAGTGGGTTTTACCAACCAGGAAAGACCGGGAGCCGCCACGACACTTGTCGGGAACGTCCACTTTCCACCATGACCACCGCTCGTCGAGCGTGTCCGCGAACATCATCCTCACGTAATCGTCGGGGTCCAAGTTCTTCACCTGCTTTCGCATGAGCTCGGCGTCGGGCCCACTAGGGTCGAGGCGAGTCGCCGTGGTGTCGTGGCCACGCTCGGAGGCGGAGAGCAGCGCATGATCCCAGAAGAAGTGAGCGAGCTTCAAACCTGCTACCTCGTCCCTGTAGTTGAACCTGTGGGTCGCGAAGATCCACGAGCGGTCAATGCGGAGGATCCGAGCCATGTCCCCGAAGAAGAGGACCATGAACTGATGCGTCCGATGATGATAGTCCTGACCCCGTGGGAGGTCCGTGACAGTGAGCGAGGGCGTCGGAAAGCACAGAGGAGGAGGGAAGACTAGGAATAATACCTAGAGTAGACTAATAAGTAGCACCTAGAATAAATCAGAACTACACCTCTCCGAGCGCGAGCCCGAGCGATGCGCGAGAGCGACGGTAGAACAGAGACGAATCACAACTGGGTGGGAGCGAAATCGGACGGCGGCGGACGGCGCGAGACGAAGTGAGCGAAGACGAAATCGAACTGGGGTCCGAACGAGGAGTGTCCAAATCTCCATTCGAACGCGGCTACATACATGCTTTTATATCATACGGGCGAGCGAGCGGGCGGGCTAGAACACGGAGCGCGAGCGTCGGGAGAGTCGGGGCAGTCGAGGATGAGGGCGGAAGCAAGATGTCGGGACGTCAGAGGCTGACGCGCGCGACGAGCGCGCGCGCGCTTGTACGACCGGATACGGTAAGCCGATGCGAGGTGGGCGCGGCAAATGCGTCAGTACGCTGCACATCGCGGCGGGACGACATATCTATGCGGAAGGAGGGCAATAAGTAAATATACTGTCCGGGCCCGCTAACACCGGCGCCTCGGACTCGCGCGAGTCCGCGGACTGCTCAGTGCCGCGGGCCACCCATCACCGATGTTGGTAATGGAAAATCAGTTGAGCGTAGTCAAGTATCCGCTCGAGGACCCTTGCGCGCTGTGCTGCTACAATGCGCGCGTGGTTAAGGTCTTCAAAAACTGACTCATTGAAAGGGTCGTAGTCGGCTTGGGAGTTGGGCTCGCACAAAATGGCCATTTCAATCCGGGACCAGTCCACCTGGCCAAGGTTGAGTCCTAGTCCGAGTTGATGTCGTGCTTGCTGATACACAGACGCGACGGAGGAGGGGTAAACTCCACAAAAAGCTGCGTTCATATCCGCAGGTCCCGATGACCGCCCTAACTTGTCGCAGCTATAATACGTTACAGACGCAAAGTAGTCACAGCGCTGAGCGAGGAACGTCTTCGTAAGGGTGTTCGACTAAAGTAGTACACACTGTCAGCAGACGGCAGGACACATTTTCATCGGAATCGTAATTAACATACCACGTTTTGGCACATGCATCGCACGCTATGAGCGCGCGGCATCTCCTTGAACGCGTTGGAGGACAGTGAGGGACGATCGTAGTCTCCCCCGCTTGACTAGGACAGGTTTAAAACGCGATTAGCCCGGTGTGTAGTTGTGGAGGGTCCGTCTGAAGTTTGATAACCCGCAACAGGTTCGACTTTCGTGTGGGCGCGTGGTTGAAGGAAGTGCGCTATAAACTCGTCGTACGGGATACAGGTGCCAAACTTCTCCGGGTCCATTTTCGGTCGTGCGGATGAGGCACTAAGACAGGTGCTTACGACTGGTATTAGACCACTTTCTTACGACTTATTACGCAATGAACGGGAGGTGGTTTGGAGCAGTGTTCCGACGGTCAAAGGAGAGGTGCAAACTGTGGCTTACTCGTGGTGGCTGAAGCTGAAGCCGGTGAAGCCGGGCGAACCGCTCCCGGAAAGCTGCCGAATGCGCCGAGCGTCGGGCGCTGTGTGCCTTAAGCTTTATACCCTGTTGATTATGTTAGGGGGTGTCTCCCGCTTAGCTCAGTTGGTAGAGCGCATCACTAGTATTATCTCCTGATACAAAAAATTTAATCGGTTATGATGAGGTCCATCGTTCGAGTCGGTTAGTGGGAATTCTTTTGTCCATTTTGTGGACCCTCTCATAGCTCCAGGAGATGTCGATGATGGGGCACGGATCCGGGATTCAAGTGGGTAGCCAACCCCGGGTGTACGGTCGTAGTTAAGCCATGGCGCAACCTACGCTCTCATTATTCACTGCTTATGCTGACGAAAATCGTGTCATCTAACATAGCTTATCACGCCAAAACATGCGAGCGCGACTTTACAACAGTAATCCTACACCAAAGCAGCCATGCCCCTTCCATTGAGTCCCGATTCAGTAGTAAAGTCGTATATTCATTCGTACTAGACGCTACTAGTCCAATCACGCAAACATCTTCGAACCCGTCAGCACCGGGGTAATAATCCCGGCGTCCTGCAGAGCAGCGAAGAGGTTAAACAGCATGAGGTCCTACAATGTGCGCAGCGTCAGCGTTTGACGTCCCACTAAACGAGATCCAGACACTTACGCAGCCCTTGGCAGTTATGAAACTGATCGTCACAGGAAGGAACTCCTCCTTCCCAGTAACAGTCGAGTTGTATGGTGCCTCGCCGACTTTTCATCGAAGGTGGTTAGCCTGTGGAAAGGGCTCAAGAGAAGGCGATGCTCACTGGGTACGACCATATCGGGAGTCTCTCCGTGCACAGCGATGCGTCCGGCCGAGAATCCGATCGGAGCCTGGGGTGCGCTAAACCAGACTCATGAGCAAAAGTACAGCGAGATACTGCAGCCTACATACCCGAAGTACTCGTTCCTGTAGCTGGTCTCGCCCGAGCTCTGCGGGTAGAGCAAGATCGCGTCCGCACAAGACTCAGGGTCCCCACCCTTGATGACCGAGTCCGCGAACCAGTCCATGAAGGTGGTCTTGTTCGCCAACGCCTCCTCCTTGCGTCCCGCGGGGAGCGCACGGCCATAGTTCCACCGCGCGAGGGGGGCGGGGTTGATGAAGGGCGTACGACCCCCGTTCGCCGCGGCATAGTCCGCAAAGAAGGGATCCGCGACAAGCGCGGTCTGGTCGAGGGTGATCAGGTCCGCGTACGTGGTCGACAAGAGCGTCTGGAGGGTCGGCGCGGACGCGTTCGCGGGCTTCGTCTCGTTCCAAAGCGAGGCGAGCGTGAGTTCCGTGCGCGTCGTGTTCAGGAAGCCCTCGAGCTTCTTGATGAAGTCGTTGTGCGTCGCGTCAGGCGTCCCCGCGGCAGGGGGGTCCTGGAGGTAGCGGCTGCCCCAATACTCGAGGGGGAAGATGATCTTCTTCGGGAACTTGGAGAACTACGCACTTCGTCAGAACGTATTACCCCCGCAGCATGCTGTAGTCGCATCTTACCGAGGTGAAGTTCTGGTACCACCAGTGGCCGGCAGTCGCCCACAGCTTCGCATCCCTCGAGAAGATGCCGGCGGTGTCCAACTCGGGCGACAGAGGCATGACGTTGTCCAAGCTCACCGCGCCATGCGACGGCCTGTTACCAAACACGCCGTTCGCACCAGCCGGGCCACGCATCGACCCACCCGTGTCGCTGCCGACGGCGAAGTCGAGCCAAGGGTACGACGCCTGTGCCGTTCCGGGGCCCGTCGACGAGCTGCTCCCGTCCTGGTACCCGTCCCCGCGCGGGTTGTACGGCGCGTGGAGGTCGACCCAGTCCGCGGTGGCGACCTCCCCGTTCGCGAACTGCGACGTCTTCGCCTTGCCGACGAGGACGATCCCGCCGTCGAGCAGGCGCTGGATCGCCGGGGCCGTGCGCTCCTTGGGCGGGTAGTGGTTGAAGTAGGCGCGGTTGCCGCACCCGGTGCGGAGGCCCTTGATGTCGAAGATGTCCTTCACGGCGAGACGGTAGCCCGCGAGCGGCTTCTCGGGGGTGGGCGTGTAGTAGAGACGGGAGGGGACACCGATGCTCTCAGTCGCGGCGCCGGGGACGTGCGCGGAGAGGATCTGGTAGCCTCCTTGGCCGTCAGGGATCGTTCCATAGAGGAACGACTGGTTCTCGTCGTTGTACAGGCGGTATGCTGTGCGAATGTCAACAACTGGGCGCGAGTCTGAGGGAAACGCAAAAACATGCCTTCGTAAATGTGTCCAGTCGCAGGTTCCAAGAAGTACGGGCCCGAGGGCAACGCCTTGGTGAGGCTGACCCCGAGGGGGAAGCCCTTCGAGCGAAGAACGAACTCAATGCCGAACTTCTTCTTTGCTGAGCCAAGCGAGGTAGACGGTATTCCGTGCGAGCCGTTGAAAGAGATGTACACGCCTACGGAATCACCAACTGTTAGAGCAAGGTTCGGGCAAAAAGCGCAGTTCAAAGCACATACCGGTTAAGAACGCCTCGCTCCAGACGTCATCCTTGGCGGACCACGCGGAGACGGTCTCTTCCAGAGCGTGTCCGTCGAACACCGATTTTGATGTCGGGATCACCGAGAAGGGCACCAAGTCGCCAGACGCCGGCTGAATGAGAAGGCGGCGTTGTGCAGCGTCGACACGAGCAAAGGCGGGACAAATTACGAGACATTGTCTAGGACGAGCGTCCTCCCCGTAGGCTGGCTGGCGACCTGGGCGGCCGCGACAGGCTGGATCGCAAGACCGGCGCCCACGACGGCGCGCGCGAGCGTGCTAAACAGCGTCCTCATCTTAAACTCGGCAACGACAACTCGAGGAAGGCACGAGCCCCGCGCACGTCACGTACTTATACGAAAGCGTGTTTGCTCCAGTCCCATAGTAAGTCCCTCATCGTGGCCATCACTGTGGCCATCCGGGCTCAAGCCACACTTAGCATGTACTCGATCCCTCCGACGTCCGAGCTCGAGGCGATCTCTCGCAAGGTCCTCAGGGGGACCATCCTCGGAGGAGCAAGGAAGCAGACAGCTCCCCAGGCCGAGTCGAGCTCGCTCCGCCGCAGTCCGCGCAAGAGCAGCGCGATCGACGCCCCAGTCCCGGACACCGAAGCAGCCACTCCGTCCTCCTCGCAGAACGTCCGTGCCCGTCCACTTCGCCCAAGAGTGGTGCAAGTCCTCGCGCCGGGTCTTCAGACAATCGTCGCTCACAGTCACGCCGCAAGGCAAGCCCCAAGTCTGATGCGGCCGCGCCTCCTCGCCCCTGCGAAGCCCTGCCACCATCGGCGGGACCCGACAACGCCACAACTGTGAAGGGCGACTCTGCTGCCGCCGGAAACGCCGTAGGCGGACCGCACGACATTGGCGACAAGCCGACTCCCGCTGCTACCGTCGAACCTGCTGTCGTTCAGCCCTCCCTCGCCCGGTTCATGTGGAGACCCCCACAGCCCACAGAAATCCCAGCCGCCCGCGAGCAGCGTCCTTGTGAGATTCTGTTGACCGCTCTCGATGTTTCGCGGGAATTGACGAGACATCCAGGGTCATTGGACAGACCCGATCGATCCCCATTCCGGGGTGTCGGCAGCCGCGTATTCTACCCTCCCACAGAGAGCGAGCTCGCAGCCATGCGCGAACGCGCACACAACCCACCCGTCGTATACTCCCCTCGGCCACCCGTATTCAGCTTGCCTCCTCCTAAACCAAACAAAGTCCCCGAGCCCGCCAAGCTGACACCCCCGCGCAGTCGCTCGGTGTCGACAGAGCCCGCGTGGGACGAGGTCACGCGCTCACCCCTCCCGCCTTGGGTCTTCCCCCGCCCCATGTCCGAGGTCCGCCGCGTCCTCCAGGAGATCACGCCCCTCGCAGACCGCGACGAGACAGCCAAAGGCCAAATTCGCGAGCTCGGCATCCTCATCGACCACGTCGAGGAGGGCACCGCAAAGCTCAAAATGCGTATGCGTGAGATGCAGAGGCTGCGTCTCGCCCTCGAACGCTTCTTCTCGCAGTTCAAGGACAATCCGCGGCGCTACAACGGGACGTGGAGCCCGCAAGAGGAGGAGAAGCAGGGCTCGACGGATGAAGAAGAGGACATGGCGGAGGTAGAGGATTTGACGTCTCGGGAGATTCTGAGCGCTGACCTTGCGGACATCGCTGGGGAGCCCGTCGCGAGGTGCGTGTGGTTTTACAGACGAACCAGAAACTGTGCTCACCTTCATGTTCTGTAATAGGATGGAGAAAGGGAAGAAACGTTGCGCGGAAGAGATCGTCGCCATGTCTCCACCGCCCAAGCGGTTGCGGGGATTGAGGACGTAGAAATATGAGCCCACTACTCTGCGCCCTCTGTGTAGTGTGCAGGCGTTGCGCACTTTTCGAGATGCGTTCCTTATGAATTTTTATCTTACCAGCTGTAATTTGTACAACATCGTCGACCCAATCGAAAGCTGGTATATTTTCTGTTTTGCCCACCGGCCGAGCCAGAGCGAGCCAGACAGATCGCCTACAAGATGTCCTGTGGGAGCAGACGTGAGCCATTCTCGTTTGTAGCACCAGATTGTTGCCCTCCATGAAGGAGAGCGGCCGATAGAACTATAAACAAGTAGAAGCGTCGACAGGAAGCTGGTCGTGGTCGTGGACGAAGATGCGCGCAAGCGCTTACTTGGCGGGGCTGCGAGTCTGGCGACAATTTGAATTGGGGTCAACGCTCTTGGACTCCGGATCCGGCTTCAGCTTGAACGTCCAACGTTGTTTAAATGGGCTCATGATATCATGTACAAACTCTCATCTATCCCTCTGTATCACGGTCAGCTCCAAAATGACAGACGGACCCTCTTTATCGTCACTCACCTCCAAGTCATGTTTTATGGGCCGGTATGCGATATGCCACCCCGGCCCACCCGAAATTGAAACAGTTGTGAATATATGGTGCTGAAGTCTGCTAATGCCTTAAGTGAGTGGCCCGTCGCTATCGCCATCGCTCACGCTATCAAAAGAACTACGGCTTGTGAGATTTGATACGCCTCAGACGTGAGGGATCTGAGGAGAGTTGGACACTGGCCCGGGGACCGACCCCCGCTGCGGTATCAAGCGTGACCAACGACGAGGCCGCGTGTGATCTAGTGGACACATAGTATGCGTGCATCATTATGTGGGACGCTCTGCTAATCACCGACCAGTCCCCAACCGCGGAAGGCATGGTGTC